ATTTTTATATTGTATTTACCCTGTACGTGGTTCGTATATGCAGGGTTTTAATGTTTGGCTATTTAGTATATTATGTAATTACCCTGTATGTGGTTCGTATATGCAGGGTTTTAATGTATTGGCTATTTAGTATATTATGTATTTACCCTGTATGTGGTTCGTATATGCAGGGTTTTAATGTATTGGCTATGTATTTACCCTGTGATTGTTTTTTCTCTTCTTCATGGTTAGTTGATAGGTCCTGGTTACTTTGTCCTTTTAAAAAAATATTAAGAAATATAGAATAGAATGATTAGTTTCAAATGTCCATAAATAACAATTTTCTAAAAAATAAAGAACTTTAAATTGTTTATATTATTGAGGTGTTACTGAGGGGACACAACACAATAGTCTAACCATTTGAATATGTCAGATGATCAAACAATAGAGCTATAAATACACATAGGCAATGTGCAGCAATGCCATTTTGTGCAGCAAAGGATGCTGGTACAGTAGTTTTAGGACGACAACTACCATCAATTATAATCACTTTATGAGTCATAAATTACCTAGAATTACAATATTTTCTTCTAATTGCTGAGATTTYTTTTCCAATTCTTCTTTTAATCTATTAAGGGAGTYCACAGTTTTTAATGCATTTTTTAAGTTTTCCTCACACACAGTGGACTTCTCTTCATGAGCTTTTCTCCTCTACAAAGAAAGTTAGCATTTATCTTTAATTAGTACTATATAGTCTCCAATACTCAATTTCAAAGCGAATAACTGCTGTTTTAATTGACAGCAGATTCTCTTACACAAAGACCTTACCAAACATTAAAGAAAAAATTACAACAGCACAATATTGCTAACAATTTACATTTTCCCTGAGTTGAAGCTTACCCTGTAAACCTGGGAATAAAGGGTTACTAACTCAGCGAAAATTCAAAGTTTGAAAAACAACATTTTCTTGTGCTCTCTTTTGTGTTTGGAAAGGTCTTTGCCCAAGAGGATCTGTAGCCTGTGTATAGCCACACGCTCCTAGCCACTCCAAGAGAGTTTGGGCCAGAGAAACCCAGAAGGGAATGTCTGCCCACAGCATATTCTGGGTTTCTACGGCCCAAACTCTCTTGGAGTGGCTAGGAGCACCTGGATAAAGCATCATGATATCTATTATAATTCTTTTGATTGTAAATGTTCAAATTGTATTGAGTAATTTTAAAATAATAAATAAAAAAGTGAGCAAAAATAACAATTATTTGTGATATTTCGTGACATAGTGTCTGCACTCTATGATTTGACAAATTAGCAGATTCTGGTACTATACTATTACTTACTATTACTTCTTCGTCAAGAAGACCTTTCAAGGATTCAATCTCTTTTTTTGCTTTATCTTCACTAAGTTTCACTTCTTCTTTCATTACCTGAAATTAGTAACAGAAGCTAATCACAATATCCAATGTGCTACAAAATATTTGAGATATGCATGCTATTGTTTGAGGATTGTGTTGCATTTTGTGACATCATTGCTACAGGTATGATCCCACACACTCATATTTTCATTTGGCAAAAGAAGTGTTAGATGTGGACAGTGTAAAGTGAGTAAAAATAATGAATTTCAAAACAAATAATAATTAATAAAACAAATTATTTAACTTTCCAGGATTGATGTTCCTTACAACAATATCTTTGTCTTTGATATCCAGTTTTTTGGTCATATCAGCAAGTTTGGTAATCATTGCATCAAATTCAGTTCTTCGATTGGCAATTTCTTTCTCTGCTGTAGATATTGAGTGTTTCAATTGTTCTTCAAGAGCCTGCAAACCAACATTTTGATGATGTGATATTCACTTTAAGGCCTTGTTTAAATGGGAAAAAATTGTTCTTGGTAACATGGTTACCCTCCTACTACCCAAGCCAAGTTTACAGATTGCTTATACATGTATGGGGAAAATGTTATCCCTTGTGATTGGTCGACCTACTGAATTGATAACTTACTATAATTTCACATGGTCAAGACATAACAGACATCTCAAGTTTTGTCTCAGTTGCCCGAGACAAGCAGTAATTTACATGGAAAAAAGTTTTGACTTTGATCTCGTATAGTGCACTTACTAGCAACTCTTCATCCTTTTTCTCTAGTTTCTCAGATAATTCTAAATGTTCTCTTGTTAGATCACTCTTTGTTGCTATTAAATATTTAAAGATTTTATTAATTATAGATATGTTAAAATTTACATAACATTATTATATAATAAATCCAATGATTTTGAAGGGTTAGAAGATCAGCCACAAAAACACCAAATGAGGCCAAAATAATTTCGTACATCAAATCATAGTATTTTTAATGCTCCATAATATTTAGTCCATAGCTTCAAAACTTTCTGGAAATACGTCTATTTCTGATTATAGTTCTTCCATATGACAGTGCTGAATGTTTMCATACTATATCATTTTTCAATAAGTATAAAATTGATGGTAGGCACTTCTGAAAGCGGTCTAAGGTTTACCAAATATCACTACCTGTGCCCATGCAGGCATTTGTCCTGTGCAGAGTTTAGCTAAATTAATAATTACCTTGAAGTCTTCTATTGTAATCTTCTACTTGGTCACGATCATTGCACAGTTCTTGGTTACTCCTTTCTATATGTGCAACGGATCATACTTCAAAACAAGTACYTCACATGACAGTGATATCTTTTACTTAGTAATCAACTATTTCACTGTACATAACACCACAGCAAAAATTCCAGGCAAGAGCTGATCAAATTGAGCAACAAGTTTGATGACAAGTCAAAGGATCATTATTTTCATTGCTGACATTATTCTATGTTTGACATTTGACTATTTAAAATATAATCCTGATCTTATTCTGTAAAGATTTGTATCACAATTAATGTTCAACACATCATCAATAAAAATATTGTTCACAAAATTGTGTCATTTGGCATGATTTCTGAAGTAATGAGGTTTAAGTGTTTATTGAAAAAAATAATAAATAAATATTAAATAAATAAGCTTAGACATTGCCTAAAACCTTTGTTGAGATGTTTACCAATGGCTAAACCAAAGTATCCAAATTGTGAGCATGCCATACATGTTAAAAAACCATCTTGTATTATCTAAATCATAAACATCACATAATTAAAAGTAAAAGTCTGACTTACCTAAAACYTCGATCCTTGATTTAAAGGCCATATTTCTAGCGATCTCTAGATCACAGTTTGCTTTGATGTTTTCTAAGTCACATTTATGTACAATTTTGAGTTTTTCTAGCTCTTTCTTCATTTCTTCCAGTTTACTATCAGTATCAATAGTTTCAGTTTGTGTTTCCTGAGAAAATGAGGACAATCCTTGATTCTATTGGGAAAAAATCAAGAAAAAACAACATTCAGATACCATTTGGTGTTAGCTGTAAGTACTTTAGATGTTTGACTTAATTGGCATGCTTCATTTCTTGCAAACAAACAATTTGTATTTAACATTACCTGCACCCGTTCTGTTGTTAATTGTAGATTTTGCTCCCTGAGGTAATTTAGCTCCTCTTTGAGATTGTCAATAGTTCTTTCAAGATCATTGATCTTATCCTGAAAAAAACATATAATATTACTGAGTAATAGGATCACTTGCAGGAGGTTGATTAAAATGATTTCAAAAACTCATACATAATTAATGAGCTATTAGGCCAATAGAATGAGCCTATTTGTTCACATGCATGGACCTTTATATCACTAATAAAACACTCCTTATTAGATTAGAAGTATTATTTTTATAAAGAATACTTCTAATAAGGGTGACCTTTATSAGATATAAAGGTCCATGGCCCTAGCAAAGGTCTCAGGTTTGAAACCTGATCACTGACCAATGCAGGATGTCAACCGAAAGCAGTGAACAGCCAAGAGCGGTGCTATTTCACTTCATGCGTATTCAATGTGGGATGACAAGAGTGCTTTGTAAGTGATTCACGCATGATCAGTTTGCCCTATTTACCTCAGAACATGTTTGTACGGCAATTTCTCCAAGAATTTWAACAGATTTGAGTTTCAAATTAGTGTTGGAGTTTTTGAAGCCATTTTTAAATGAGAGAGTGTTTTATCAGGTATAAAGATTTGAGCCGAAGGCAAAAAACACTCTCTCTCGTGTTTTAAACTATATTATTTACGTAACATAATAAAACATTATTAATGACAAAACATTAAAACACTATAATTTTAAACTATGACAATTTAAAATAAGTGTTTGTTTGTTTACTTTTCTTGCCATCATTCATTCCTTTGTTGCTGATCATTGAGACTTCTAGATTTTTTTCAAATTCAGTAAAATTCTAAATTAAGTGTCATAAAGCCTTCTTTTATTAATGATTAGTAAGTGGAACTTCTTCTAAATTCTCACTTTCTTAATTTTAACTTCCACGAAACCTAGCTCAGATAGAAAAATACATCACATTGMAAACATTTGTTTAAATGGTTTCATCATGTTTTTCAACATTACAACTAGAACAATCTATAATAAATTCCATTAATTGCAACCATAATCAAATTAGCAATAAAATAGTTATTTAATAATAATAATCTTTATTTAGCAAATGATATTGCTCTCATACAAGAGAGTATATTAATTTTTTCCTACCCTATTATTAGAATTGCATCTTGGGGTACTTCTGATATTACTGCTAAAACTTGAACCACTGCAAGTACTCAGATCTAGTAGTGAATAAATATAATTGAATATGGATTTAAAGGACTGAGGTAGACTTCCAAAGCTTTCACACCAAAGTCAAGGAAAGTGGACTTACTATAAGTTTATAAAATATTATATAATGTGATCATACCTAGAAATACACTTGTGTCACAAGGTCCAGGGATATTTTCTGAAGCAAAAAAAATGTTTGCTAAATCAGAATAGATGTTAGCCCAGATTATATACAATTTCTAGTTAAGAGTACATGACTTTTGTTCATTTTTCTTTTGACCTTATTACGTCCTGAGAACTCCAGTAACAAATATCAATCAACACATTACTAAAATACATGATATATCTAGATAGGATATCCAAGGACTTAATTTTAATTAGCTACGAGGTTTAGTGTAGATAACTCGTCACATTCTAAAGTTCGCAAGATTTCAAGTCCTTGCAATTAGTTCCAGTCCTCGGCATGATACGTAGTTTTTGACAGTTTCAAGGTATTACAAKAATTTTCTTCAAGGACAGTACTGGCCCCAACAAAATGTCTACTTATGTGTTGTGACAATATATCAAATTACCTTTTGATTGCAAAAATCTCTTACTTTTACCAAATATCATGGTTCCTGCATTTTTGGTCTGAGCATTAACATCATAGCTGCCTACAGCAGGGGCATGGGTGACTGAAAGCACATCGCATATCAAAGTGAACATTACATAGGAACTTGATTTTGATAAAGAATAACATAAAAGAATGTAATGAGAAAATGCATATCCAAAAAAAGTGTAAAGATAGAATGGAAATTAAGAATGAAGTGAAAACATGGGCGCGCRGAGATACGGATTTTATCTTCGAGTGTTGAAATGATCTCTCATGAGTGAGYGTAGCGATTTTCAACATGAGAAGATAAAATTTGTATCTTCAAGCAACCATGTAATATTCTGTTTATCATATAATTACATATGAAAGCAAATTRTGYCGTAAAATACATTTTTTCTTGCTTTTACTATAWAGAGAAACCTCGAATGTGTTATTTTCACTAGTGAAGATATGGAGAAATATAGGTATTTCATAGATAATTAASCTTAAGTATATGATAAAAACAAATATTCTATGGACAAGAGGGTTTGACAAGAGGTTCAAAGAAAGTTCAAAGAACACCCCCTTAGATTTCAGCAGTCATGTACAGAGAACTATAGAGAACAAATAAATTCAGCTAAATATTACATACTTTTCAATATAATCTTATTACTAATTAAGTTAGTAAAATTTTAAATTCTTTTAGTTTAAAAAGAGAAAATTAATTTCAGGTTATTATTCTGCTGATCGAGGCACCTCAAAACACCTCGAAATTGGCTATGGCGCCACGATCCATGTCATTAAAGATCCAAATAATTGCTATAATTGATTCTAATCAATTAAATTCATAAGCTACAATTGCAATTTCGTTTTATATGTAAGGTAATACAGCGAGAAGACTGACTGATCGAGTGTGTAGACTACTAGCTACCACCTACTGCCCGTCCGCCACCTTACCTGGACTTCGAAAACGCTTAGACTTTGAAAACATCTTCTTCACGGCTTTAAATTAAATAGCTTTAACAAATTCCGTTCACTCACTTACAAGATGCCTATAAATGACTTTTATTTTGGTCAAAGAAAGCCTGATATCTCCACAGTTTACCGCCTTGSTTCAGCACAAATTCAGTTAATCCGTTAGCTACTGGTTCGTTTGAGCACCAGCTAACCAATCACAAGGCTACTTGGCGACACAGGCATACCAACATGGGTAGACATAAATGAAATCCACGTAWTATTTTCCTCCTTTTTCACCCTTTTTCATGAAGTCACACAGAAAAGACTTACCCCCATATTAATAGGTTACCATCATTTAGAATTATACTTAAAGCAATAATACATTTGAAGGATTGGGCTTCCTGTGGGCTTGCYAGCTTTCCGCTGGACAACAAAATTGCAGGCATTGGGTCATGGCGTCGTAGCGTCCTTTTTCCCAGATGAATTTTTTTTTACCCCTTTCTATCAGAACATCATGAATTCTTCCTCCCTAAATGACGAGAGTTATGCGAATTTCCTGCAAGATCAAGGTGAGTTGTATAAGCTTAAAGTTGTTTTGATATCCAACTTAGATGTTAAAGATCACTGATCATTGCACGATATTTTGACAGCGTCAAAGTAGTTCAAACTTTGGACCATCTTTAAGATGAAAACTCACCTTTTCACTTCCTGATACGAGACTATTTTCAAAAATGCATAAGCTAAGCTTTAATTAATAGATAGCGTTTAGCGACTCCATTTTGTACAAAGCATAGTACATGTAAGCTTAGTTGTAGTCCTAGCAAAGACVAGCAGCAAAATTATCCAACTGAAGCTGAACTTGTCTCACAGCAAAATGATTTGTTGCAAGTTGTAAAAGATGATCATTCTATTTTTTGCAAGAAAAGCCAGCAGYCAACCGGCCAACTTGCTGCAGCGAAATGAAGTCACATGACAATTATCAGCTGACTGTGTTTTTCCAGAAAATATCCATACCACCAGGACAGGTGGGATTAGGAAATTAAGGCATCAAAAATTTTTGTAGAGGTGCTAGCATAGCCATTTGTAAATCTTTGTCTGTTAGTCTTGATTGGTCAACAGTTTTATAAGGTGCTCCGAAAATCRCATTCATTTGATGTTTTTATGGGGGGGAGGCTGAGATGTTAAKTGATCCTGACAGATTGTGGCCACTTGAAAGTGATACATCGTAGTCTCCTTAGAAACGTTGTCCAATCATGACAGCTCGTCACTGAGGTTATCAGGTTGGATAGTGGTTCAGTTCTCTTGCAATGTCAGATTGTGACAGATTGTCAGGTCATGAAAAATCATGATTTTTTTTAGGTGTTGTAAAATGTTTTCTGGTCTTCCACGGAAAGTGCATGTAATAAAATGTTTTCGAGAGAATTAAAAAAAAAAAATTTTGTCGGGAAATATATAAGAGTTAATTACTGAAAACACAGGCTATAAGCCATTTACATTTACTATACCTGATAACATCAAGAGGGTCAATGACAAATATTATCTCTTCATCATTTGAACRTTTTTGTTTTCATGTTAACTTTGATCTCATGGAATTATAGTGAGAAGACTGAATGCAATTTTAAGTGAATACCAGAAGAAATATCTTCCTGTAAAAGAGCCAAAAATTAAGGTAAGAGTTAAGGTGGATTCCAACTAATAGAAGCCAATTTTCCTTCATGTTCTACMAGCCCTACCAGCTCTCCCTCATACTTGGTTGAACTCATTTTTTCATACATTGTACTTTCAATTTATTATGTACTGTATATGACCACTGTGTATTAGGTGGATGTATACACCTAATTACACAAACGTTGTCCAAGAAAAAAGAACTTTTATTATTTAGGAATTAATTAAAAAACTAAAAAGAAAGTGTTCGGCTTCAGTGGTCATGTTTTGTCTTTTAATGTATAATTCCTAATTTCCTAAATCCTTAAATCTCAGGACAACGTTTTCGTAATTAGGTGTATGTACAATGATGGAATTTGTTGTTTTTCAATTTCTCTTGAATTACAGTACTGATGTMTTTTGGGATTTTGTATTTCTCAACAAGGGCTTTCTTGTACATCTTATCTTATGATTTTCCAATTAGATTTTGCCCAGTCCCCTCAYAGTTTGAATTAATAGTAATCACAGGATGTAACAGTACTTTGTTAAGTAAAGGGTCAATTGTTTTTATAGAACCAGGAACCTCTTCCACCATGGATTACAAATCAAAGGTATGAAGGCTTAATTTGTASTCTTCCTTTTTAGATGTACAATTAGTTTGTATTAACTGTTAAGTGCATTAAATTTATATGTACACTACATTGATGAAAAGAGGCCACACACGCATGTAGTTTCCAATACAGTCAACTATCTTGTAAGCGACCCCCTCGGAATCAGGAAAAAGTGGTCATTTACGAGATATGGTTGTTTACGAGAAAGTTAGCACAGGAAATCCAAACAATGGTAATCATAACACAGGAGTCCCAAATAGTTCAAAACACATTGTTCGTATTTAATTGATACTGCTTCCATGCCATTCATCAAATTCTTGAAGTTGATTTTAATGCCCTAATTCTATTGTTTTCAATAGAATTAGGGTATTATAGTGTATTTGATAGTTAATTAGTATGCTTTTACGGTTTGTACTCTATTAAAGTAACCAGAAATGTAATTTGTGTAAGCTTTATTAAGTAAATTAAACAAACACCTTTATTACGTCAGTCGAGGGTGGTCGCTTACGGGAGAGGAAAAACAATGAAAAATACTACAATTTCAATCCCAAAAGTGGTCGCGGTCACCTACAAGAGTGTTCACCTACGAGAGAGTTTTTTTACTGAGTTTATATGGGAAACAAAATGGGAAGGTGGTCGCTTACGGGAGATGGTCGCTTACGAGAGTGGTCATTCAAAGAGAGTTAACTGTGATTTGTATATTCATGGGGGACATGTTGTTTTGAAACTTTCATTCTCTCTGCTATTAGCATTGTCTCCCCTATGATTGCTGAATATGATGATATTATCAAGAAATTACAAGATCAGCTAAGATTCCAAAAGGTTTGCAAATCAAAATATAGAACTAAGGAAAGTCAAATCAATTGATTTTAATTCTTTCACATTCATTTGTTGATTGACATTACTCCTCATAAACATATTATTCCAGTTGAATAGTTCAAAACTAACTTTMAAGATAAGAAGTATGTGAACTAAGCTCTGACTGATGATTTTCTGTTTGTTTAGGATAATCTCATTCAGTTAAAACAAAGAACTGAYAGAGTGGTACAAGAAAATGCAGGGTTTGTTTCTACTGCTGTAATTTATAAAACAAACAAGTAGATTCTATTTTTTTGTGTCTGTATTCTAATGCTGTGTCTAGATAGGTGACATCAAAATGTGATGAGAACAAATGTTCTCTAGAAAAATGGAATCTATTGGTTTTAAATGATAACAAATAGGACCATTGGTGTAATGTGTCCTTTAACTACATATGGTTCTCGACCAATACAATGGTATGCAATATACCAAATATTATATAATGCTTTATCAAAATAATCATTTAACTTTATAAATAAAATTAAAATCATAATAATCATGCTAAAATTTATTGATGTTTGAAATCAAATGAAGGATGTCAAAGCAGTCAAAATGCTTGAGATAACAATAACAATCTTGTCTCTTACCTTCCTGAATTGAAATAAGTATCTTCCATATACTGCTATTCCAGAAACATCAAATACTGCATTCTTGGGTTGCAACCCCCGCAGTGAAA